AATTGGAAGGCAGCTGGGCAATATCTATATTAAAAGCATTAAAATATGCATATTCTTTAACAAGAAATTCCTGGGAGTTCAATGTTTACAGATGTTAGCCACTATATATAAAAATAGATTTTTAAAAAAAGTTTCTTTTGTATAGCACTGGGAACTATGTTCAATATCTTGCAATAACCTATAATTGAAAAAACAAAAGCAAACGAATCTATGCATGTATATCCATGACTGGAATACTGTGCTGTACACCAGAGATGGACACATTGTAATTGACTGTACCTCAATAAAAATAAAAATAAAAAAAATAAAAAATTCAAAAAAAAAGGGATGAAAGAAGAAATTTCATGTCTAGGAGAGAGGGGCATGGGCAACATAACCATTAAAACAGGTAACAGGACTCTTCTGAGGAAGTATGGGCAAGAAATCCAGTGCACTAGCCTCCCTCCCTTTCCAGATCTGGAGTCTGAAGGCCACACTGGTAAAAGCTGGGAAGTAAAGGAAGCTGTCTGGGTGTGGCCAGGCCGGCCCAGGGGACCCTTCCAAGAACAGCTGAGTGCCATTTCACAGAAATGAAGTTCCAAGAACTGTAACAGCCAACTTACAGCAACGACCCTTGTGCGGCTCAGCAGAATGAGGTAGAAGAAAGAGCTCCTGATAACCAGCTCTTCAGACGTATTATAAAGATGACAGAGGCAGACTCTAGGTGGGTCGGGCAGACCGCTCAGTGATACAGTGATTCTGACTTTCTGTTACAACAAGGATGATGTGGATATTTAAAATTGATAAACCCAACTAGTCAGTGCACAGGGAGGGGGGAACTGCTTTTTCTTTCGTGGAGAAGTTACAAAGTCAGCACAGAGAGTTCCCACATACCCTGCACTCAGGCTGCCTGAGGTCAGCATCTTCTGGACTATGGTACGTTTGTCACAACTAAGGAACCAACATCTGTGCATTACTGCAATTGAACTGCACGCTTTATTCCTGTTTCACTAGTTTTTCCCTAATGTCCTTTTTCTGTTCCAGGAACCCATCCAAGATACCCCATTACCCATTTGGTCATCATGTCTTCCCAGCCTCCTCTTGGTCTGTTCACAGTTTCTCAGACTTTCCTTGTTTTTTTTTTTAATGAGCTGACAGCTTTGAAGACTGTTAGGTATTTTGAAGAATGTTCCACTCACTCTTTGGGGACCAAACCTTGTCTAATGTTTTCCCTCTGATTACACTGGAGTTATGGGTTTGGGGCAGGAAGACAACAGAGGTGAAGTGACAATTTCTCGACATCATATCAAAGGTACAAACTGTCAACTAAACATCACAGATGATGTTAGCTTCGATCGCGTGGCTGAGGCAGTGTTTGCCAGGTTTTCCACAGTAAACTTTCTTTTCCACCCTTTTCCCATACTCTTCTCTCTGGAAGTAAGTCACTAAGAGCAGCCACGCAAGGGGTGGGGAGGTAAACTCCAACTCCTTGAATGATGAACGTCTATATAAATTACCTGGAATTCTTCTGTATGGGAAATCTGTCTCTACTCTCATTTATGTATTTGAGCATTTATTTATTTATATCAGTGTGGATTCATATATATTTTATATTTCAGGTTATAACCCAATACTATGTTATTTATTTTGTTGCTCAAATTGTCCCAGCTTTGGCCACTGGGAGCAAATTCAGACTGGCTCTGGTATACCTTTGACATCCTTGTTTTTTGAACACTTCCTTACTTTCTGCTTCTCTATATTTTTGTCAGTGAAATGCCTTATCTAAGAAAAGGGCTGTTATGGGATGGACTGTGTGTTGTCCTTGTCCCCTCCCTCCACATAAAATGTCACATTAAAGTCCTGGTCACCCATACTTCAGAATGGGACCTGATCTGGGAACAGTCATTGGAGATGTAATTAGCGAAGAAGGGGTCATACTGGCATAGGTTGGTCCCCTAATTCAGTGTAACCGATGTCCTTATAAAAAGGGGACATTTGGAGACAGTACACAGGAAGATGAAGGCAGAGAGCTGGGTGATACTTCTAAGCCATAGATTGCCAGCCATGCACCAGAAGCCAGGCAGGAGGCATGGGACAGACTCTCCCTCCCAGCCCCAAAGGCAACCAACCCTGCCCACCCCTTGGTCTTGTATTGCTAGCCTCCACAACTGTGAGAAGTTAAATTTCTGTTGTTTAAGTCTCTCAGCTGTTACGTTGTTACGGCAGCTCTAACACACTAAGATGAGAGCTAGTGTCACTGAGATCTGCATTTCAATTAAAAATAATTCACAAAGGTGGTATCCCAAGAAGCAGGTTTAGAGGAACACCCCAACAAACATCCACAAGGGTAGACCAGAAGGCAGGGACGCGAGTCTCCGTGCTACAATACTCAACATTGTATTTGGATGTGAACAAGGTTCGGGGGCAGTGTTTTCAGAGACCTCATTTTCCCTTCAGAGTTCCCAGCCACCTGCAGCTTGGTTCAGAGCCCTACTTCCCAGGCACACCTGCAAGTCCTGGCAATAACCACCCACCCAGTATAATCACCATCTTCAGCATGCTAAGTACCAGCTCCGTGAAAGCGCCTCCCAGGTGCCCCGCACAGCAATCCTGTGGGGCTGACAGGTGATTCCCTGCATCACAGCCAACCCGGCCAGATCCTGTCAAGTCGGCATTTGGGTCCCTGCTCAATGACCTGCTTTGTCCCAGTTCCATCTTCCCCAAGTCACGTCAGCAAGTGGCCCGATGACTTAGAAGGGAACTGAATACATCACTGTCAGCTATACAAACACTGTACAATCATCCAGCATTTAGGACCCTAAGTACGATCGGACATGCTAGAGGATGCTGAAGCAAACTCTAAGCTTTCAGATGAAGGGATTATAGTCCCCAGGAGAGAAAAAGTGACTTCTTCTTACAGAGTTAAGACACTGAAGAGGCAGGCTGGAATCTCAGTCTTCTCACTCCACATCCAGTAACCTTTATGGAAGGGAAACAGAAGCTCCAGCATAGGTAGATGCAGAAACTATTTTTTTTAACTCAGTTCACTAGAAGAGGAACTGGATGTGACAGATCCGGAAAACTTCAGATCTGAAGTTTCCGTTTGGAAATAATTTTCACTACAAAAGTTCCAGTTTGTCTGCATTTTTATGCCTCTACTAAAAAATCAAATGAAGTCATTAAGCTTAGGCCAGCTCAGAAAGCCTCTCACCTGAGTATGCATTCCTCCTGCAACCCCGAGGGCTCTGTTCTAATCCTTCGAATTATTAAATAATTACTGTGTTTCCCCTGGGGTCATGTTTGGCAACAAAATACTAGTCTAAATGAACCAATGATAAGATCCAGTGACTAACACTTACGGTCTTAACTTCTTCAAACTAAAAGGATATGAAACACTTCCGAGGTACAAACTGGGAGGAAGGGAAGGGTTTACTGTGGGGTCTGGCGAGATACAAGAGCAGAATGACAAAGGAACACGAGACTCTGGGAACCATTCCAGTAGCAAGGGTCACCCCTCCCCCACTGACAGTGTATGTCGGCAAGTCTCCACCCCAATCTCGGTTCTCTCCCATTTCAGGAGTGGCTCCGGCCACAAGGAGAAAACCAAGCATATGGCTTTGCCCTTCTGGACAATTCTACAATGTTAGCTGAGCTGCTCTGGAAAATCCCATTTTATCTCCTACAGCTATATGACCTCAAGTTGTCATTTCCAATAAAGTATGCTTCCACTGATTTTTATGAACATACCCCAAAGCTGCTACAATCTTTTTTTTTCCCCCTCAAATCTTTCAAACCAACTGTAGTTGCTATGTAGGGCTATTTGTTTCTAAGGCAACAGCGTATATCTAAGTACTAATGGCCTGTCCTTTTGCCAGGCAACAAACAGCCTTGTGATGCAACTGCACCTGTCTCGGCTACGCGTTACTATGGAGACGCTGCGGTTGCTATGGCTACCATCACGCTAATCGCCTAGCAAAGGCAGACATACAGCAGTCTTCTCAGAGAGCCCAGCTGTTCCTCCCTGTCTCTTGCTGAAGCCTGATTGTCTAGGGCCTGTGATGGAATGCTTCTCAACTGAGATGCACAAGAACTTCATTAATGCTGTTTTAGATGATCACTTTGTGTTCCCTTCTGCAAAACAAACACCAGACTAGGGAAGGAACCTGCAATCATGTGGACTGTGAAATTACTGAAATCTATGCTTGACATAAACTTGAAGTCCAAGGATCATGTCTCTTAACTAGGTGGTTAAACATTTCTATACATTAAACAAAAAAAATTTTTTTTGGTAGAATTGAAGGACAGGTTTCAAATCCAAGCACCATGTAAGAGAAAACCAGTTTTAAAATTTGGTTTTCTGTTAAGTGGTTTTTTTTTTAATCTAACATTAACGCCCCCCCTCCTTTTTTTTTTTTCAAATGACAAGCCACGCATCCTCCCCTCCAATTACATCTCTGTAAAAAATGGCACCCGTGACCTCAGTCTCAAAACAAATGGGCATCTGAGGAGCGAAGTCTCTATTGTTCTTTGCTCTTTTCCTTAAAGAGCCAAACACCCAGTAACCACAACAAAGTGATCGCTCTGGAGCACCGTCTACATGGAGACGGGGATGACAACAGCTGAGTGGGTCCTTCCATGAAACACCTGGAGCCACTCCTGCTCAGATGATGGGAAGACAGAATCGCTTACCTGACTCATTCCTGGACTCTCATCCCGACAAACCGCCACACACTGAGACGTTAAAGCTGTCAACTTTCCTTTGTAAATGTTTCTACCCGGGAAGACATTATTTCACCCACCACGATGCCCTTCTGGAAGGAAACACATTCCTCCGAAGCAGCAGAAGCGGTAAGGTTTGCAGAAAATATAATGGACATGCCTGCAAGACTGCTTGACTTCTTTCTCACTTATCTAGTTATTTTTAAAATCATACAGCCTATTAGATTAGTTTCAGTGCCTGTCTCTGCCAAAATAATGCAACTTCAGTAGACAAAAAAAAAAGAATAGTCTGGATGGCTTACCTTTGATATGCCTGAGGAGAGGCAGGAGGTGTATTGAACACATTCGAGTGTGGGTGATAAGGTGTCTTTTTCAAAGCCTGAATTAGATTTTGTCTATACTCTGGGTCTATGCACCACAATGACCCTTTCCCGATACTCTGCAAAAAAAATTGAAATACGAAAGTGATTAATATAGAGACAGTAAATATTTTGCAGCAAGTAGATGTAGATTTATTATCATAGTTACTTATGTTTAAAAGCCATTCTCTTCTTTCTTCACTGTTTGCCAGCCTTAATTACAATATTATACTCTGACAGCAGAATACCATACGATGCACTTCCGTCTACTCCTATGAAGTTTGACAAAATGAACAAGTTATTTGCAGGTGATGTTGATACAATAATATTGTAATTCTTCTATCCTACAGACCAAAACCCTTTATTATTTTTCAGTGTCAAATTTGAAGAACATGTGTCTTCTCTTCTAAAAGTGAGTTTTAAATGTGTCAGGTTTCAAGGGTTGAGGGGAAAAGAGGGCCAGAGACACCCTCAAAATTCTGTCCCTGCTTTAAATATTTGACAGGTACGTTTTCAAACCATATGACATGGGTGCCACTTTACAAAAAGAGAAAAGTAATCCACTTGTTTTTTTCCTACTTACAAAAGAACGACATTTAAGCTTCCAGTGGAATTCTGGAATGACCTTCCCGAAGACACAAAAGAGCCCAGGCAGCAGTGGTAACCCTAAGCCAGAATCCAGTATTTATTTTTTGGATGCCTCAGTTCCCAGGATTCTGCTCCAGACCTGACTCTTCAGAAGTTAAACTTCAAAATGCAAATTTTATCGAGCTGTCTCCATGGAAGAGGGAGACGTGCTCTGAGGCCCACTTTCAGTTGGAAGCTTTCGTTCTGTGCAGAGCATTTTATAAAGCAAATGTGAGGTCTTCCTCTAGGCCCACTGACAGTGGCGGCAGACCGATGGGCGGTCCCTGCTCTGGCTGCACGCTTGCAAGTGACTGAATGTACCCAAGCTGCTTGATAAGGTCATTTGTAAATATTTACTGATTTGGAGAGAAAAGAAGTCAAATTATATCAACGCGGGCCCACCCCATGCCTCCAGCCAACTGACTTTTATTTTCACAACTATTTGACGACAGAAAGATTTAGAAAGCAAACAAGAAAATCATGTAACTATTACATGGGGGAAAGTCCAAGAAAATCCCTCAGAAGGAGAACTAAAAATCAGTGATTCCTAAAATCTTTAAAGAAGTTTTAATAATCTGTATTCCAGTCATCAGTTTACCAGATAGTTTACTTACAGTTATTTCATTCACAGATCCCGTTGAAATTCTTTACTATCTACAGCCTCAGTGCACTGGGCACAGGGAACTGCTCAAAGCAGAGTCAAAGGTCAGGAACTGGAGTCTCTGATCACCCCTGTCACCCACCCCCACTGGTGCAGGCCTGACCCCAAAGCCAATCCCAGTCAGGCTGACCTACCTCGGCTTAATACCAAAGGTCCTAGTTTAACCATCCGGTTGTTTACAGACACGAAGGATTTCAACTTTGGAAAAGTCAACATCCCTACGTGGCCTTCCCTAGCATGTGTACATTTTCAAGTCCAAAATAGTTCAGGGGGATGGATGAGATTTTCCAGGTAAAGCAGGCAGGCCATCAGTGATCAGCCCTGTACCCTCCATTCTGTCCTTTGGAGAAAACCTATAGACACACTCTTTAGAAGAGAACGAAAGCCAAGGGGTGGAGAGGTATCGGGAGGAGGAGCCGGGCCACTAACCACCAAATCTGGACACTGTAAAACCAACCATGAAAGCAGGGAAACTGCTGGGCTGCAGTGGTCCCAGCCTGACTCCTTCGAAGGCTGCCAGGGGGCCCGCCTTTCTGATCCACTAGAAGACAAGTCCCCAGACCAGCTCCTGGGAGGGCCAAGGGCCCATGTGCAACCCAAACGTTTCTGCAATGAGATTATCTCAGTTCTGGGAACCACAGGGCTTTTCTTTTCATCAAGCTGGCTTTCAGGGTGGGGCCGTTTAATCTTACAGGGAATAAAAAATATGACAAAGAAATGAAGGGAAATAACAATAAGCCAAGAACGTGGTTTCTCCTAATCCCAAGCATCTTGTTTATTACACTGCACTACTGTTGACCAAAAGAGGAAAAAATACCGCAGGATGGGGGTGGGTGGGGTCCACAAGGTAACTGATCCAGGTACAAGAGGCAGGCAGAGTTAGAATAAGAATGGGTGTTCTTTCCTGTGTGGCCTTGGGCAAATCACGGTCCCACAGAAAGTCCTGGCTTCCTCATTGGCAAAACAAAGACCCCCTGCTCCCTTACAGCCTGGTGTGGGGCCCAGCCAAGGCATGACTGGAAATACCCAGAATAGTGGAGAACCTACAGGCACTCAGTATCTGGGGAACAGGGTCAGGAACAGAAGAAAGGGAACAGAGCTGGCTGTGCAGTGCCTTTCAATATCTGATTTTCCCACAGCCGTCCATCAAAAAAGCAGCGCCCAATTCCACCAGGGCAGTGGGAGGGGCCTCCAGCAAACGGACCGGGCGTTAGCAGTTCCCTTCATTCCCCCTTGATTTCCGCCAGCCCCCCACCTGCCTTCCATGCACCCCTCACACCCCCTGTCACTCGCCCCGTGCTCCCAACAAGCTCCCCGCTGCTGCAAGTTTTCTTCTGCCCAGGTCTTCGCACGCTGAGCATCAAGCTGAGGTTTCACTCCGAACCTGGTCAGCACGTAGTCACGGCCACCGCTCACCGCGGGCGGGCAGTCCGCCTGCGCTTTGAGTCATCACGAACCCCACCTTGAGCAGTTCTGCATGTTCCGGCGGGGGTGGTCTGGAACTGCCGATAGATTTTTCTCACGGACCAGATAGCAATTTCAATATCTCACATTTAGAATTTCCAGACAGAAAAAATTTTTAAAGCATCTTCAGGACATACCCATGGGGACACTGTTGGTCCCGCTAATCCCTTCAGTGATTTTACAGTGGAAAGTTCTAGGCGGAGCTTGAAAGGCGCAAGAAAAAGGCTGACACTGCATCTTTTTTCTTTTTTAAATTCTTTAACTTCTTTTTTTTAAATTGAAGTATAGTTGAATTACAATGTTCTGTTAATTTCTGGTGTACAGCATAGTGGTTCATTTATACATACGTATATATTCATGTTCTTTTCCATGATAGGC